TTTTTCAAATAACCTTCTCCTTGGCTTTTTTTTTTTTTTTTTTTTTTTTTCAAAAGGGAACGTATGCTCCCTGGACAGAGACAGAGAGAGGGAAAGTGAAAAATTACCTCCCGGGGGATGGCCACAGCACAATGTGGTCTCCTCTATTCTCCTCCTAGGATTTTGGGCATGTAAGCACATGTGCCTGGTATGATCTATCTTTCTTTCTTCCTTTCTTTCTTTCTTTTTTTTTTTTTTAAGAATTATGTTATTTAACTTTTATTTATTTTAATTTGATCAGAGAGGGAGAGAGAGAAAGAGAGAAAGGGAAAGCGAGAAAGCAAGCCACCAGGTCCAAGGTCCAGCACTCAAACCATGGTCGGTCATGTGGGAGTCCAGTGTCTTTAACCACCATGCCACCTGCCAGTCCCTGCCTGGCATTATTTTTCAAGCCACCAGGTCCTAAATTAAAACCATGATCAGCTATGTGGGAGTCCAGCACCCTAACCACCATGCCACCTACTGCTCCCCCTCCCTGGATCAGCTTTAAATTCACTCTAGAAGCTTAGATTTCTCCTTGAGAGTTCAGTTTCCCAACCACAGTTGCTCTCTATTGAATAGTTGGCTCTAGTGCTTGACAGTAGGCTCTTCTAGGAAAGAGGAAGGCCACTGTGTTTTCACTCACACCTTCACTGGCATCTCTAAAATTTCACATGTCACTCCTGGACAGCTCTAGAGTACTGCACAGAGAAAGAGGCCACAGGCAGCCACAGATATCTTTGCAAGTCAGCATGGATCTGGACTGGATCCTTTCTGAGTATGATCATCATTTGTATTCAAAAAGGAAACCACTGATAGGAGAGACACATCTGTCTTGACTAAGTTCATATGAGGGATTGTCCCAACGTGACCTACCACCAGAGGCTTAAATCTAAATTCATGACTGTGTTCACATGCTTACAAGATTGAGAAGCTTTATGTTGTCTGTTTCTGCTTTCTTGTGGTCATAACTTTTATCTACATATGCCTGTGTCTGTCTGTATAACTCCTTGGTTTCCAGATGAAAGAAAGATAGAGTTTTGCAAAGGATCTAAGAGGGTAGAGGCATTTTTCAATTGACTGTGGCCTCAGTACTAGTAACTACTGTTGTATCTTCCCCCTGTCCCCCTCCCAAAAAAAGTATGGGGTAGAATTCTGGTAAGCAGTGCATATAAACAGAGGGTCTTCAAAAATAAAAAGAAGCCTCTTCTTCAGAGTGATGCTACTTCTTTCTAGATCATAACACTGTTCTCTCCTGTGTATGCTCCAGTCCAACCATGACAACAGCACCAACAACTGCTACACTCTTAGGGGGAATTTATTATCATCCAAGCACTTGACAAAGATCATTGTACTTAATCCCCAGAGAAAATCTATGAAACAGGGCACTGTTAGTGTCCTGTATTAAAGATAAAGAAACTAAGATTTTGAGAATTTAAAGATAAGGGACCAGCAGTTAGGGTAATGGCTATGTCGCTGGACTCCCACATAGTTGACCGCGGTTCGCGTCCTAGACCCAGTGGCTTAAAACTCACGCCGGGCGCATGCGTGCATGCCCAAGGTCCCAAGAGGAGACTGGAGAAGGGATTGCAGTGTGGCCATCCCCACAGGGGGTGATTTCTCACTTTCTGTCTCTCTGTCTGTCTGGCGTGCGCACACACCCTATAGCAAAAACCTCTCAAAAACAAAACAAAACAAACTAAAACAGATCATGCTCAAGGTCACACTGATAAATAGTGGTCATGATTTTAAAACCTGAATCTTAGACCAGTTGCAATAGCTCAGCAGAAATGCAACACACTGCAACCCTGAGGCCATGTGGGAAGGTACCAGATTCATGTCTTGAGGCCTCCCTCTACAGATTGGGCAGCATGTGCTCGTTATCCTGGGAGGTTCTGGCTGGGATGGATCAGAGAGTAAAGACTCTCTTTCTGGTGCATATTTCTCTCTCTGAAGAAATAAATAAATAAACTTACCTTCCCATCTGGTTTTGCCCCTTAAGAGGACAGAGCCCTGCTCCAGGCTATTTCTGTACTAAAAGATTTTCCTGGGAGAAGAATTCAAACTGACCATCCTCTTCTGTCTGAGAGCCACAGGATCTGAAGCAGAAAAAGGAATGTAAAAAGAAATACAAATACCTAGAAGTTATAAGACATTTAGAGCTAATCTGACATTCTTGAGATTTGAAAATCCAGTCTGAGGATTCATACATAGATGTCTTTCATTCACATTTCTGCTTCGCACTTGCATTT